TTGCTTCAAATAGTTTTCATAGAAAAACGAAAATATTCATACTCTCATCATTATGTTCTTTATTGTCGACAATTTTGCATCATATAAAATGATTTAATTATTCAATGAAGACAATGATAGTATTATTTTGTTTATAAGATCGAAAGAAATGAGTATTATGCAGGATTTCTCAATAAAAGTTAGTGTTTAAAAACCTTTTTCATTGTGAATGTATTTTCAGAAAATCTGTTTTAAGATTCGTGTTGACAGTAAACAAACTGAGGGTGAGTATACATTTAAAAATCAATGGATATAATTATTTATGTTTATGAAATCATTGTAGAAGCCAACCCCTACTTTTCCACGATGATCCTCCTTAAAAATGCCACCTTTCGATTGAGAATTCAATTCTACATCTAGCCGAACTATTTTTAGACTCAGTTCAAGTCTATGCGCGAATGTCAGCAAGGAACAGTTGAATCCGCTGCTAACTTTCCTCATGTGTATACCATTAAAAACATTGCGAACAAGAGAAGTACACCCGTGTTAAAACTGAAAAACAAATCTAATTTTAATGAACTTTTTCATGTTTGAAACTTGATTAAAATCTTTCTATTGTAATAAGATTATTCAATTTTTAACCGTCTTTAATCCCGATGTGAATGAAACGCATTATTCTGAACTTTTAATTTTGACAACTCCCATTGTTTTTGTGGACTCCTCATCTCCCTACAATAATAAGTGTAATACTAGATCAACCTATGACACATGCCATACTTCGAAGTGCGATACTGATTAGTACTAACTCGTGTAAATCAATATACCGACAAATTAAACTCCCCTACCCTTCTATCCCACGTAGAGATGCTACTTCATTTTTTACTTTTCTTTATACTAAAGGATAAATACAAAAAAAAAATCTTTGTTTTTATAACATAATCTTTAATTTTTACTAAGTTGCTTCCAAAAGGTTATGATATCATAGATGGAAATGAAATATACAGAAAAGTCTGTTGCACATAATTTTTTTGTGTATCAGCTTGATTCTGAATAATATAACATGTTGAAGTGATGTTGGTGATAGGAACGAATATTGATAAACATATCCTGCTATTAAATTAGATATTTGTCGATTTGCTTATCATAAAAATAAATTTTTCTTTATTCTTTATTTTATTTTTATTTTTGAAAAATACAGAATGTATTTATCATTATAAAATGAAGATAAAGTAACATCCATAGTCCCATGAAATAAAAAGTTAATAGCCTTCTATTATGAAAATTCACATCGCTTTTCCAAAAATGACCTTGTATTGCGAGCTAGTTTTTTGCTAGCATTCACCTAAAAAATTAAAACTTTTGAAGAATTTTTCTGATATTCACATAGGTGTTTTTAGCAAACAAGTGCTGGAGTACCAAAATTATTACCTGAAAAACACTTTTACTAGAAAAAAAAGTGATACAAATTACAAAAAAACTGTTTTTTTTACTCAAAACCTAGGTTTCTAGGTGATAAAGCTTGCAAATTCGCAGAATTTTCCGAAAAAAATTTCGGAAAATCCATGGTCTTCTATTACGCCTTATGAGATTTTTCTTGTAGATGGCCTTCTAATATAGAACAACTTTCTATTGTTGAGAGGAAAATGCTGCATTAAAATCGACTATTTTTAATTAAGTCAATGTCATGCTGATAAACTTCTTGTCCATCTTGAGCAAAAAAGTCATATGATACGGATACTTCTTGAGATATGAACAAGAAAAATAAATTTGATTCAAGTTCTAGTCAATTTTAAGCTGTTGATAAAGTTTAATCAATTAAAAATCGTTTTTTAAAAATCAATTTTATTCGATCAAAACGGATTGAATATCAAATACTTAGAGTAAAATTGGATCAATATAGTGTCAATGTAATCAATTTTTCATCGAAAAAATCGGTTAGAATTAGATTTTTTAAAATTTTTATCAGGGCAGGGCATCAGGGACAGTCCTACCCTATGACGGTCTCTGTTACCCAAAACACTGAATCCCATTTTACTTTCTTGAATTCCTTAAATTTCCAATTTCTGAACCGTAGGTATATCTCACATTTCAATATGAAATTATACTTGCTTTGTCTTTTGTTTTTGTTTGCAAGTTTTGCATATATTATCAAACTATGTTTAGAAGATTTTCTACATCAAGACAGTTGCAGTAAGCATTTATTGTAAGTGTTCAATATAATTTAAAGATAACATTTTCATATTTTATTTGTCTGCATTCTCCTTACCATATGGTTTGTCTTTTTCTTTGATGATATATTAGTTTATTATTTATCAGCATTATTTTCTTTGATATAAAGTAAATATCGAATGTATTTATTTAGTTCACCTAGCAATGAAGAACTACCATCTAAAGATGAAACAACTAATTCTATTATTGATTGTTTATCAATGTGTTCAATAGCTGCTGCTATTAGTCTTATGTCTTCTGTATCAAAGAAATCACGTAACAGTATTCTGAAAGAATCAAATGATACTAATGAAAAATCCCCATTATCTAAACTGTCCACTTCAGAATTCAGTTCATTTTTGATAAATTCATCTCAAACAATACATAGCTCATCAGCGAATTCAGTAATACCAAAAACAATTGATGTAAATTTTAATTTTGATCTTATATATATATATATAAATACTGGAATTATCTGAAACAAATTCAAATCGTTTTTCTCAATCAAAAATCGATATTTGTCGAAGATTTGAATGTTTATTTATTCAACTTTTACATTCACTAGAATTATCTTTACAACTTATACGATATCTTATAGATAATTTTCATCATTCTGATTATAGATCTGAAGTAAAAAGAAAAAATTTTTTTAAACATTTTTCTCGTTATTGTTTACTTGTTAAATAGATTCGTACTAATGGATTCAAACATTAGACATACTTCAACAAGTTGATAGAAAACGTGTTGGTATTTTATTTAATCTTATGTATGCATCTAGATTACTTCAAGAGCTTGAATCTTGGACAAAAGGTTCTACGGGAATGCAACATATATTAGCGTTTGTTGTTAAAGTCATTGGTTATACAGAGAAACCAATATTATATGTAAATGAAAATGTGTGATTGTGAAAAAGTATTGATGTTTTTTTTCTTCATTTTAAGTTGATGTTACTCAAGTATTAATGAATGCTGAACTAATTTTCTTAGATGACAACTGAAAATTATCTGTGAAACGGTACCCATCATTATACCTAAGAAAAAAAACTTAAATAAACTTCCAACACTAATCAATAAATTAGACCATTCGAGCAAACCGAAGCGGATATATTTCAATCATTTTATCGCAGTATGGGTGTGGGTGTGGGTGTGGGTGTATGTGTGGGAGTGATTAATCAAAGTAGTGACACCCACACCCCAGTACCCACATTTTCTTTCTTCTCTCGTTCTAAAAGAATGCCTTCTTTTTTTTTGTTCCTTCGCTTACTTCAGATGAAAAGGTGTCAGCAAACAAAAAAATGGATGCCTCTTTTACCATACAGAAAAAGCTGAAGGAAAAAAACACGTGTGTTCGTTGGCATTCTTTCTTTTTGTCTTATTCAGATAAAAGCTACTCGTTTGCGTTCTTTCTTTTTTGTCGTATTCAGATAAAAGCTACACGCACTACTATTTTGTCTAATA